AACACAGTGTATAAACTAGAAAGGATTAGCTTTCTCAAAGTGTTCAGTGAATAAAGTAACTTATATGAATGATAATTTTGTGTGTTGGTGTTCAATTCACCCACAGAAAATTTTATCCATATACTAGGAGTAAGCATCATGATTGAGTTAATTTATTTCATCTGGATTTCAAGAACTTTTGGCTTTCGTTTTACCCCTATAGATTACTATAGGGATAAAATGTTTACTATACTGCAAATATTTTTCACTTCTCAGCTGGACCACTGTATAGTTGACCCTGCCAAAAGTCCTGTAATGCTCCAGCCTCTCCCCCACTCAGCCGCAACAAAATTCTTCACAAATTTAAACTTGAGAGAGCCACTCTCCTCCTTACAGCCCCTCAGTGTCTGCGCGCTGAACTTGAGACAAAAACAAGTTCCTCATCTAGTGTCCAGGCCTTCTGTGGCCCACTTCCTACTCCTCCCAAGTCCACCTCCTACTCCCTTTTGGCCTCAACATCCTGTACTTTCAGGCATCCAAGGAGCCTGTGGGCTCTCACTGCTGGGCCTTGGAACATGCTATGACCTCTCCTGGACCCCTCTTCTTTCCTTCTTCCATTTCTCCTGCTCCTACTTACTCCTCCAGGACATCTTCCAACCTCCTGACAGGTGCAGAGACCCCTGATTCATGTTCCCATAGCCCTTCCACCCTCATTCATCACACACATCACCCTGCTTTGTCTGCAGAAACTGCAACAGCTCCATTTGGCCTAAGAATCAGATTCTCAGCAGCACTGAGTCTTGTCTGAGGAGGCACACTTGAAAAAAAATTCATATTTCATAATATATTGCTTTTAAAACATCTGTAAATAATTTCTTTCTATATTGCCCTTCCCATTCTGATGACTTTTCCTTTCTTCTTGATGCACTAATTATATTGAGGTGTGTTCATTTGCTTTGTTTAAATTATACACCAATCATAAGACTCAAACTATGTATAAAAGGTGAGTCACTTTCCTTTCACCAAAGTATTCTCATATTTCAAGCACAATGGTGTTCTTCTTTTGGTTCACAATGCTATAGGCAAAGAATAGGATAATGAAGGAGGACCTGTCAAAAGCACATCCAGCAATGCAACTCAGTTCTTAGCTGGCCTGTTAACTTGTTTTTAGGTAAAGTCTCTGTGGCTTTCTCTTCTGAAAAGTGCTGCCGGTAGCCAAAAGGAGGCATTGGCTTAGGAATACTACTTTAGCCATAGGTCTTCACCAGTTCTAGATTTATCCATAGGAACAGAAATGAAATATCAGTGTTAATAGATGCCCAGGTGATTAAAGACACATGTTCCACCTTCCTGGGGATGAGTGGAATCTGTCAGTCACTGAAAGGGTATAGAATGTGCTAGAGAGAATTTACAAAGGGATCAGAATACAACTGTCCCTTCTCTCAAAGATTTTATTATTAGGAAAGTTTGTGTTTTTGTTGGTTTTAAGTGACTAACAGAGCAGACAGTTCTCAAGGAGTCCCTGGTGGAGGCAGGACTGAAGATCGGCAAGGAGCCCTGTTGTCTGGCTCCGTCTGACTTGCACTCTGTTTGATTCTGTTAGGACCTTACAGGAATTTGTTCATTTAAGGTGAGGAAAACATACCTACCATAGGCCATTTCTCTCACTTAAAATGTTTATATCTAACAACACACATACACGTGAACCTGGACACATATGTGCACATACATGGAAGCAACGCATAGCAAGAAACGTGAACACAGCTCTCATTAAAAAATGCAATGTGTTTTTTGAGCCCAACTGAGTACATCATCAAACAAAGGCCAGAGGAGCGTGCCAGTCAGATGGGACAAGCTGGGCAACATAGAAATGGTGGCCTTTGTTTTATAGGAGGACCAGGTACGTATGGGTAAGAATCTTTGACAGTAAGTGGCAAAACAAATAAGAAATCAACATAGCATAAAATTGTGGAAGGATTTGGTGATGAAGGGCCATCAGTGTTTTATATGACGGTGAGTAGATATGATCTGTGTTTTAGGAAGGTCACTGGCATTTACAGATGGAAACATAGACTATCTTCGCAACTCTTGGCCCAAGAGTGAAAAAGAAAGAAGAACTACAAGAGGTGGGCAGACCTGATACGGTACCAATTCAGAGAAGGAACAGAGCTTAAACTAGGGCTGTGTTCATGGAAAAGGAGAAAAGGAAAGATTTTTGATGATAACACCAATGGAAAGTTCCAACATGAAAAACAAGGAAGATACAAAGATGGCGTTTTCCGATACAGTTTTTAGACTGTAGTTGTCTTTATCCAAAAGTGAACCCCAAGAAGGTGCACTGGACTCAAGGAAGATGAGGATGGGTCTTCCCCCACACATACTTAGTGTTACTTGAGGGCATTCAGGTGAACTGACCCACGAACAGTTGTGAATTTGGATGAAGTTAAACATAGAGAGAGCAATTATTGAAGCCATTGTGACTGAAGGGGATTACATACAGAAAGAATTTTAAGAAAAAGAGGAACACTCTTGGAAACAACTGTGGTTAATAGTTAATAAGCATATTAGAGAAATATGATGCTAAAAGGTTAAAAAGTCATCTTTGCTTAAAAAGAAATCCATTATAAGATCAGCAAGTCCTTTACTCACCTTCTACTAAACTGGTCTCTAAGGTCTTTTTTTCACACAAAGTCACTCTGGGGACTAATGACCATATTTATTCTAAACACATACTGAGCTCCCTGCCATATTTCAAGTATCATTTCAGGGATGTGAAGAAGCAGAAACAAATCAGGCATGGATACTGATCCCCAGGGAGCATGAATGTCAATGGTAAGAGAGGAGCTGCACAGCTGTTACCTTTGCTCCTTTGAGCCTGACATTGACTGACAACATTCAACAGCAAAGATCAATGCTTGGACAAGTGCTCCAGTTTCAGAAGCTGTTTCAAAGTTGTGAAAGTTCCACCACACTAAGTTTAGATCATGGCTACATAGTGTAGTCCTTTCCTAAATGACAAGGGACCCTTAAACTTGAAGTGGACATATGGGCAGGACCCATCAACCAAAATTGCAAAGAAAACTTGTATTTAGTTTTTCTACACTGCTCTAGTCTAAATGGTGATGTCCTCCCAGATTCATATGTTGCACCTAATCCCCAGTGCAATAATATTAAAAGGTGGGACCTTTAAGAGGGGACTAGTCATGAGAACTCCACCCTCAAGAGTGAAACAGGCTGAGCTGCCCTTTCTGCCCTTTCCACCATGTCAGACCCAAGAATGTGCTGTATGAAGAGGAGTCTCTCACCAGACCCATAATCTTCTGTTGCCTTGATCTTGGACTTCCCATCCCCCAGAATTATGAGCAATATATTATCGCTGTTTATAAATTACCCAATCTAAAGTATTTTGTTATAGAAGCCAAAATAGACTAAGAGGTATAGTATTTCTTTTTCTTCTACAGACCTCATCTTCACTCTTTCTATTTCTTACTTTAAACACCACTGACTTTGAGTCCCACTGTGGCTGAGCAGAGAACTCTGTCAGCACAGGAAAGTATCCATGCTTGTGGACTGTGTGGACACTCATGAAATATAGGCTCCTGTCTCCCATTTTCTGAGGGAGATTTTATTTTTTACTGGTTATAAATGAAAATGGAAATGGGAAAAATAATTTCCTACCCCCAAAACATACCATTGCATTCTAGTGAAATTAACTCCTTATAAAGGTCCCTGAAAGGTGCAATAGTTATTACAGGTATTACAGATTAGTGGATAAATTATTCTGCTCAAGAGATATTTCCCATCTTTCAAATTATATCAAATTTACCCATTCACACCTTATTCATGGATTCCATAATATTTGTTGAAAATCAAGTATCTTTTAGGTCTAGTACTGAGCACCACAATGCCACGCAATAGGCCACCCGGATTCATATGGTTCCCTCTCAGGTAAAAGTCTTTTATGATGAAAACATGGTTATTGTTTATAAACTCCTAATTTAAGCATGGCCTACTGATTCTCAATTTATTTTTAATCTGTTTATAAATTACATATGGCTTATTATAAATATTCACATATGCAAATAATTTTCCTGTATTAATTTAAATCTTAGTATTAAAATTAGCTCACCAGCCCATGTGTCTGAAAAAGCAACTTTTGTGTAATAAATTAGCAACATTGGACCAGATGAAGTGTATTTTAAAAAGCACTCTTTCCTTTTATTTCTTGCTTGGCCTAGGAAATAAAGGAAGCACTAGTGGTCCCACAATAGATCAGAGGAGACAATCACATTGTACAGATATATTTGGTTTCTTTATTCTGATAAAAAGAGGAAAAAAATATAAACTACATAGCATATGAAATAAAATGCCATACATAACAGCTGCCAACTATTCAAAGGTCTTTAATATTTGCAAAACTATGTACATACTTAGTAATACCAATGTAAGGCCAAAAGATGTCAATTTTAAATTATTAATGAAATATTTGGTTCCCACTCCCAAGTCCATATTTTTTAGTACCTAGATTAGTTTAAAATTAAATGTGTGAAAGTAAACTCGAACATCTTTGTAGGTCAGCCATGAAAAGTTATCCTTCACCCTTATTTCTAGAAAGCAGCTTGGCTTATTTCTAGATCATTTACAATGAAGCTAGAATATCTATGATAACTGTAGAGTTTCAAATATATTCCTAGGGCTGCTGCCTCTCCATTCTCATTGTCAGTAGACCACTCTCCACAACTCCCAGATTGTGGAAAGAGAATGGTAGAAATAAAGATGTGTAGAAAGACAATGAAATTAGAAACAGGTGAGGAGAATGATGGTACAAACACTAAGGGCAGGGATCAGGACAGTTAGCCAGATGTCTGAGGAGGCTCAAGACACCAAAATCACTTGCTGATCAATACTGAGAAGAAATAAACTCAAAGGAAACACCACGTTTCCAATTAAACTCAAATCTATTCACTTGTGGTCGTTCTTCAATGTGGCAGGAACTACTCTAATGGAAATCAATTGGATTTTCAGGGGCAAGAGACTTTGCCACTAAACAAGATGATGTCATCCTTCCTGATGACAAACAGGAACGGGTGGTCAGCTCTGAACACTGTAGACTCAGGGAGCTGCTTTTCCACGATGTTACTTCCTGTGGCAGCAGTGGCCTCGGTGCCATCCTCGGTGACCTCTATGTATGACTTGTGCATTAGTTTTGATAAGTACAGACGACCTCCTGAAGCTATCCCAGAAAGATCAGCTCTAGACTCATCAAAGATATCTTTCAGCCCTAGGGCTTTTAAGTCGTGCTTAAGTTCATAATTTTTCTCTATCTTGAACTGAGGAAAATATACCTCAACATACTTAGAGGTCATTTTTCTTGGATTTGTCCATTCCATTAGATTCCGAAAGGTCAGTTTGTTTTCAATCTGCAAAAATAATTAAAAGGTAATTTAGAAACATACAGTTAAGTAATGGATGAAACAACAACCACAAAGGCATATGGTTTTCCATAGTCATCTCATCTTGGATATTTGTATTTAAGCTATGAATGGGTCCTGGAATGGGGGGGGGTCTCAAAAAGGAAGAGGATTAAAATGAACAGTTCAAGTATGTTTAATAAATCATATGTTTCATTTGCTCTTCTCTGAGAAGGCATGACTTACTCATACTTCAGGGCAATTCCATGTTCTGCCCACATGTGAACAATGGATAAATATTCCTTATAGTCAAAGTGGAACAAGGCACAGGTGAAAGAATTTGGGAATCAGAAAGCATCAGAGAGAGAAAGGAGCTCAGTAGTCACTTTAATCAGTGTTTCCTGACCATTTGCTCATCATGAAAGACAGAGAAAATGGTAATATTTGCACAACTTGCTGGAATAACGAATGGAACCCCAGGTGGCCTGAGGCAAGGAGATTAGAGCTCAGTTCTGAGAGTCTAGATGATCAATACATCCAACACAGGCATGCACACTGTCTGGGAGGCTTCCACCTAAGTCCTGTTCAACAGATGAGACAGCTGAAACTCACCACAGTGAAGTGGATAAACCTGCAATACAAGGCAAGCAGCCTCAGCTACACGGCTAGGAGCCCACCTCCCTCCAATGCCAGTTGCTGCTCCCAAATCATTCACAAAGTGACTTCAGCAATGCTCGACTTGACTATTAAGATTCATCATATATTCTTCCAGATTTAGAATGAGATTTTTTATGAATATTATTTAGAAATCTTATACACGTATAAGGATATTTCTTCTCAAATTCAGACTAACTGCAATCCTAATCAACTTTTTACCAATGTCAAACTCATATTCTTACCAAAAATCTATATTTACATAAACAAATTTAGTCTAATTTGATTTTTCTGTGTGTTTGTAGCTAATCTGCAATAACTTTTCACATAGAGTTGGATTTTTTTTCATATACCCCACTAAGAGCTAACTTCCTCATCATTATCCGGTTATGTAGGATTAAGTAAACATTTAGGATTATATAGTATGTAGTTTATACTAATCACACCCAAACATTATTAGATAAATCTACTATATAAAAGGAAAACTCAGACGATAAGTATAAGAACAAATCTATCTTTTTCAGCTTGTTTTAGCTGGGCTACTTTTTATACTATAGATGAAGTTAAAATAATCACTGTGTGCTACAATCTGATTGTTATGAACATTATCTGGTGAATTATTGATTTAATATGAGTATCAGTATTTAATGTGGTCACACTTTAAATTCAACTATGCTAATTTTATGATATCTTGCTTCTCGTATCAAAAAAAGATATTAAGATGAAAACCTAATGAATGAAATTCATTATAATGCCGTCATCTTGGTTTATGTAGAAAATCTTTCCAAAGCTTTAACTAATGCCACAGAATAGAAAGAAACTCTATTTCTTTGTATTCTTTCTTCTTTCTAGTTATTCTACAATAAACATTCATTATTTTCCAAATCAAAATAAAATAAATATTTTAAAATATAGTTGTGATTTGTTTAGTATAGCTGAGGTACATACATGTGTATGTACATAACATCCAAACACACAAAAATATACATATTTTCCTACATGTGTTTATAAGACAAGTTGACTAAGTTCCACGAGCCCCCTTTCTCTACCTCACACGGATGCTGTGAACATCCCATGAGATTACATAAATGAAGCTCAGAGCATGTGGACTGGGCTCTCCATGAACAGTGTCTATTATTCCTTTTGATTGGGAGATTGAGCATAGGCCTTTGAGAATGGAGGTCCCCAACTCAATAACCCCTGTTCAGGAGGAAGGAAACAAGATCTGACATGCAGCAATGGCATCTTGCCCCTCGCACTTTGCTTGTCTGTCTCTGTCACAGTAGTCACAGGGCAGTCCTGCCCTCTGCTTCCCTCTAGGGACACAGAAGCACAGAGACAGACCAGACATTTGAATTCTCAAAGTCTCAGGACTTCACCACATCCTACCTGCTTGATAATAGTGTCAAAATGTCAATAACATACAAGACTCCTTTCATAGCCAGACACCAAGAAAGCCTAATCTCATGCCTTTTGAGCTCCATAGCTGAGTTTTGAGAGCATTCGACTTTAAGCTATTCAACTAAAATTATACTAAACTGAGATAAGTCAAATAGATACCTATCTAAAATGATACCTGCCACATAATTCCTTAAATATTTGCCAAATAAATGAAAAAGTGGGTAAGTCCCTAGGACCTCAGCAACCTGAAGTCTTAAGTTTATGGATGAAAACACAATCAACAGCATCCGGCAAGTGACAGGAGTGACTTACTTGGAACACGTCATTCTCAGGCAGCAGGACATACATGCTTATGCCACCACTGTATTTGAGCTGCAGGACCTGCATGGATGGGTCTTGAATGACAGACAGGTTGAACCTCCGTTCTTGATGCATCATGGCAACTGCTTTCCCAGGACACTGAGAGTCAAATCACAAAATATCACTTATAATCCTGCTTCATTTTATTCACTGACCAAGTACAGATAAGCATATTACACTTGATCAGTATGTTTCTGCTCAATTGATCCCATAGATTTACCTGACGTATTGCTAATAGTAGTTGTATTGGGGCATGGCTCAGTGGTAAAAAGAAAGACTTAGAGTTTATCTTCTTAAGTTCAACAGGGTGACCCTGGGTAAGTCACTTTACCTCCTATGCCTCCATTTCCTTATGTATATAATGAGATGACAATTGTCCCTGCTTCATAACATTGTTGTGAATATTATGTGAATTAATATACCTAGAACATTTAATATTGCCTTTTAGTGTTTCAACTGAAAATACCTATATTAAAATAAAAAAAACTAATGCTATAGATTTTTTTTCTCTAACCTGAAGTTAAATACAAAGTAGTAATACAGAAATTATGCTATTTAAGAAGAGGGCTTGGAAAAAAATTTTTTTGAAAATCCTGCAAGACATTTGGCACTGTCTCTCAAATTAACCAGAGCAAAATATAATGGCTCTTCTCTTGAGTGTACCATTTATAGATTTGAAGACACCGTGGAGGTACAATGAACTGCCACTTTCCTAAAGTTGATTTATAATCTGCAAACTTGGCACTGTTTCTATAATATCCCGTTTTAGGATACAAGGTCCTATGTGGGGAGGACAGATAATTCTATGTGCTTCTCCCTCTGGGAAGATCACCCTTTGGGGCTTAGAGTCCAGTCTTTGGAAAGGACGTACATGGAGCATCCATGGCCATGATGAGCAAGGCCAGCAGAATTGCACCTGGAACAAACTGGGGCTGGGATGTCACAGACAAGATGCCTCACTTCTATACAGGGGCAGGAAAGAAACACACAGCCAGGTTATGCTGGAGATGTAATTTCACCAATTTTTAAGGTACAGGAGCCAACCCTGACATTAGCAAGCTAGACTCCATAACCTACTATGTTATAGCTACACCTGTTACAGTTATGCATATTATATAGGACCAATAGGAAGAACATTTAAAACAATATTATTCTGTAGTAATACTTTTTAAAATAAAAACTTGTTTAGGAAAAAAATCCCAATATAGGACACACGAAGACTTTATGCTTTATTCTCACTGTTTATAGTGAGGCAAGCAATTCGATTCTGCAGCCCACATTTAGTAGGGCTAAAAATTTGACTCACAGGTACTCAAATTTTAGCACAAGCAATCCTGAGTTACAAACATCTGACTTATCTACAACTCGCACTTATAAACAGAGGCCATGATGGTAAAACCTCAAGTTATAAACATCCAACTGATGTACAACTCACACCTACAAATGGAGGATATTACAGACAATAGGTAAATGTACCTGTCCCAACTTACACACAAATTCTCTTTAAGAACAAACCTACAGAAACTATCTCACTCATCACTGGGGGACTCCCATACTACTTAACATGCTCTATCTTGCACTTAAACGGAACATATAAGCTTTGTCTGCACAACAGAGCTATATTTTATTAGGATTAATTATATTTTATTATTTGTTCATATACAATGTTCAAAATACTTTGGCCCCACCTCTTTCTTCCCCCAGAGATGCCTCCATCATGACATTGCTCCATCTGGCTCTGACTTAGGACCCTCCAATGTGGACACAGGGCATGGCTGGCCGGTAGTTCTTGCAGGCCACCTAATGTGCATCCTTGTCCCAGTTCTACTCTGCACTCAAGTGTCCCTCCCAAAGAGTGACCATGCCTGCAGACACGGCCTCCTAGGTGGCCTCTGTTCTCACCTCCCGACTCAATCAGAGTCCTTTAACAGCTGTCAGTTCTCAGTGCTCCCCCGTGTGGGAAAATGAGAAAAAATATTTCAATAGATGAAAAATACCACTTGTAAAACAAAACTAAATTTTAAAATGAAATCTATGTTTCTCTGCCTCAGCATAAAAGACTGAGTAATTGAAAAGAATTTTATATGTATATCATGGAATATTATTCAGCCGTTAAAAATATTTTAAGAAATACCAATTTCTAGGATACTTTTGGTTGCATTTCATAATGTGCATTACAGAAACAGTTGCCTTATAAAGCAAGTGGCCATAGACTATTGGTCATTTATATCGTTTGTATTAACCTGGATCCAGTTGGAACACATTCTTCTTAGTAAAACATCACAAGAATGGAGAAGCAAGATCCAATGTTCTCAATGTACTCAATATGAAGGCAGTAGATTAATACAAGGTGGGCAGCAGGGGGTGAGGGATTGGGGAGAGGGAGGAGGAGAGGGAATGAGAAGTCATGGTGTATGGCACACCTCTTGGGGGCAGGACACAAATACAAAAGGGACTTTACCTAACAAATGCAATCAGTGTAACCTAAGTCTTTGTACCCTCAATGAATCCCAAACAACAACAAAAAAAGAATTTTAGATATCAGCTACCTGAATCCCTTTATTTTACATATGAGGAGGGAGGAGCCCATAGTGGTTAACTTAATATGCCTAAGACAAAGCAGCTTCTGTGAAGCAAGGCAAAGACCCCAATACTGTATTTCTGATGCCAAGGGTTTTAATATTCATACTCTACTAAGATCACTATGTACAAATTGTTAAAAATAAATGAAGATATTTTATGAAGGTTGGTAGTAAGATGTTTTAGATCAAAAACAGAACTAAATGAAGAAATAGATATTATTTCTTCTTGGAAATGCATAACTTTACTAAATGAAATGTTTCCTTGAAAAAGGAAATATGTCCTTGCTTTAAACTCAGGAAAATCACTGATGGTTAGTTATAAACCCCACAGTTAAATTCAGGAAAAATAAAAGGTTCACTTTTGTCATATTCTCTTCTTACAGGCCTCCAACTGAAATACCTTGCAATACCATCAATATGTCTTTCAATTTTGAATATATTTTAGGAAACATCAATTTCTGGGACACCTTTGGTTTCATTTCATAAAGTGCATTACAGAAAGCCTTGCCTTATAAAGCAACTGACCGTACAGTATTGGTGATGCAGAAGAAAGAAAAATGGGTGAGCCCAGAAATTACCCAGGTAAGTATGATTTCCTGAAAAGGAATACTATTGAAGAAAGATAACCCTAAAATAAATAGGAGTTTTACAACTTACCTTGGGAGATTTGAAACGGCAATTTATGGTGTCACTCTTGGTGAAGGCTGACTCCCACTTGCCCTTGAAGTACACAGCGTTCACTAGCACCATGACAGAAGACGAGCTGATGCTCCCTTCATTAAACACATTCTTGATTTTGCCTTTGGAAAAATAAATTGAGGAAAATAAAGTTAATTTTTTATGTAAATTTAAAAAGTATTTTTAGAGATCATTAACAGGCATGAAGTTTTTTCTTATCACATAATAATTACAATACTAACAGGGATATTACTAGTAACCTATAAGCAAGTAATGCTTTTAAACCCTCTGGGTGTAATATTCGGTTTAAGTTTAATCCTCAGAAAATCCCTGTGAGGTAGGCACTATTATTGTTTCCATTTCCTGTTGAGGACTCTAAGGCACAGATCCTCTGAGACAGAAAGATTGCATAACTTGTACAAAGTCACACAATCAGAGGACAATAACCATAGGACTCCAGGCTGGAGAAACACTCCTCAGAGCACCTGCTCGCAGGCACCAAACCACCATTCCTGTGTCCACCGCCTACCTCTGGTAACTATAGCACTCCAAGTATAACTTAACTCCAACCATTTGAAAGAGTCAACCCCCTTCTTCATTCTACATTAATGAAATTTAGGCTAGATGTCATATACTATTTTTGGTACTTGAATTACAATAATGAAAGATACAGCCATGTTACATTTTGGTTTACTTTTGAGACAGAGCCTCAAGCTGTCACCCTGTGTAGAGTGCTGCAGCGTCACAGCTCACAGCAACCTCCAGCTCCTGGGCCTAAGTGATTCTCTTGCCTCAGCCTCCCAAGTAGCTGGGACTACAGGAACCTGGTGCTGAGCCAGGGCTCATAGTCTAGTATGTGTGAGTCAACAATCATAAAAGTAGTTGTAACCCACCAGGAGTATAAAAGCATGGCCAGTGCCATGTGGGAGCACAGATGAGAGGCACCCAGCAACTCTGCTTGGGGCTAGATGACTTAGTGGAGGGCAGGTTGAAGGTGAAAGAGAACTTCCATAAAGCATAGACTATTAATTCAAAGACACAGAAAACTGGAAGAGCAAAGTATATTTAGGGAAACCCTAACTCCTCTGGGTCGGGAAGTAAGGTCGGCAAGGTGGGAGGTAGGGGCCAGATAAAGAGCCTTGAATGTCTGGTAAGAATTTTGGATTATCTTGAAGGTGATGGAAAATTATTGCTCAGGACTCATTGAAAGACAAGGAAAAGGCATGGTCATGATAAATCAGATTTGCCTTTCTAAAAGATGTCTCTAGTAGTGTGTAGAGAATGGGCGGGGGGTCACCCAAGTGAGGTTGCTTAGAATATTTATTGGCAACATTTTGAAGTATTTCTTCAAATAAGAATTGAGTATGTATGTCTATGTGAATGAGAATAATTACACGAGATTCACATGAGAAAGGAAGGAAGAGAAATAACTGGTCTAAACAGAAAAAAGGTATTAGTAATATGATACCATTAAATATTAAACGCCAAATAGAATCCTACCCAGTTCTTAGAAAAGTAACAATCACCTAGCTTCTCTTGATTTATAAGTATCATATCTGAAACATAAGAAGGCTAAAGATCACAGTATCTGGCTACAGACATAACAATTGAATGAATCAACAAAAAGAAAATAGAGACATTATATTCTTATTCCCAGGCTTAAGTACGCGTTGCTGAAAGTTTGTGTTTAGGACTTCAAGTTACGTGTCTCACATGTCTGAGGCACAGCCAGACTCAGGAAATACCTGTATAATGTTCAGAGTACAAATCACGACCAGCCCTCAGTAAAGAACTATTATCTGTGGAATCAGCTGATTAATAAGATGAGGATGAATACTTTGTTTTGCACTAAGCTAGAACATTAGGTAGATTTCACGTTTTAGTTGCAAAAAAGATTCACCAATAAAAAGTTGTACTTTTCTGGATGAAGCAACCTTTGCCACATACATTATTTTGACAAATGAGGATAATTTTAAAATGAAAGATAGACTATATATCACTTTAAAAAAGCAATGACACTTTGAAATATTAAAATCAACCCAACCCTAAAAAAATAGATTGATCACTGGAATGAAATACTATGTTGTGGTCACTGAAAACCATGTCCTGTAAACCACTGTTAGTTTTTGTTCACTTACTAGGGTGAGATATTGAGGTTAATTCATTAAATGACCTCAACTTGGCATTAATTTTTGAAATGGTTACAGTAATATATCTCTTTGTTTCATAGTATTGTTTCCCAATCATATGAGATAATGCAAAAGCCAAATTTTCTGAGAAGTTTAAAGTATTCAGACTATTAAGATAACTCAAAACCAATGGCAGACCAATACTAAAGCAATGTTAAATAACAGTGATCATTTCATAGGTTTAGGCTTATTGGTACAAAAGACTCTCAGTTTTAAAGCTGACTGCTGTCAATATTCACAATATAACCGAAAGATCTTGCAGAAGAACAGGTGCTACACTCACCATGTGTTTCCTTTGCAATCCATTCATTGATTTTACCTCTGGTATCTTCTATATCATTTGTAAAGTCAACTCGTTCCACATTGGCATTGTATAATTTTTGAGCACACTCAATATAGTTCTGTAAATAAGAACACAGGTAAATAAATCACCACCAACTGAGCATCTAAGAAATGTATTTTTGAATTGTTTGTGCATGTCTACTGCTTTATGCCAAGACGCAACCCAGCTGGAAATATGAAAATATCCCTGGAAGGGAACCTGGTGAACTTGAAATTGAATTTGGACAGCAAATAACACTGTTTTCATAAATTAAACTGGAATGGATTGGGGGAGACTAAAGCCCACTCTCTTCCTGCACCAGGGCTTTCTCATCATAAATACACGCACCTCCCATGCATGGTCACCTGATTCCTGCTCAAACTCTTCAAGGCTCAAGATAAGGCCCAAGCCCTTGAACCTCGCCCCCAAGTCTCTGCTGATCTGTACCCCGTTACCTCCTTCCTAGCCACCTTTCCCTTCCTGCTCTGCTCCCGCCCATACCCAATCTCTGATAGTTTCTCACAAATGCCACTGGTCTTCTCTCACTTGAGGCCTTTGGGCAACATTGAAGGAAAGAAAGAAAAGGCTAGAGACACAAGTGGGCTGGGCTAGAGCCTCCTTGATGGCCTTTGTTTTCTTTGTCAAGGAGAAGACAAGACTTTTAGCCAAAACTAAGGATAATAGTGGGGGGAGGGGGTCAAGAAATTGAGAGAAGCAGGGAGGCTTTCCCTAAGTATTGTGAGAAATCAAGAAAGAGGAATTAAGAGAAATTACTAGGGACAAAAGGATGACTGTGGGGAACAGCTGAGAGTCCAGCTGGGTCGGGGGACCGTGATGTCAGTGGTAACTCTGTGCTTTTAGGATTTCCACAAGTATCACTTCATAGCCCAAGAACTATTGCTGAAAAGTCTGCATGGATCCAGATTTGGAGCTTTGCTGGGGAAGGAGAATATTGATAAAAGAGGGGTTAAGGAATGGCTCTGTGGTTTATTTGGTATGACATGGGAGCTGGGGAGAGAGCTGATACAATGAGAAAAAATGGAGAGGTCGCAAGAATGAGTAACTCAGCACAGCGGAAGAGCAGGGAGAGCGGGAGGGGAAGAACCAGAAGCATGGGATGTAGACACCCAAGAGCAACCTGGGCTTGTGGATTTCAGAATGAAATAGTACCAAGTGTTGACGAGTTTCAGGGCGTGGTTTGGGTATCAGTGCCTAAAACAGAGTGGAGAGAGGGGTCAGGAAGCCATGAGGAGCAAGTGGGGCGGGTCATCACAGGAACACTGACGTTCCTCAAATTAAATAGTGGCAGAATTTGGAAGAATACAGGACAACATTTACAGACGTCTGACCTGAGGCATATTTAGCACAGATTGGGAGAGGAGGGAAAACAAGATACCAACGACGACGGGGACTGGGTCTTTTCCTGTAGTTTTTGTAAAGACTGATGATTGTTATCATAACCATCAATTCCAATGGACTCATTCATATTCAAATATGAATGAAAAGAACATTATAAAATAAAATGTAAAGAGCATGACTTCATCTAGCTTTGTGGTGATCTAACTGAAAATTTATAATCCTTTCCATTCATACACAAAAGTAATTTTTAGAATAACTATGTTTGTAAATATTGGGGAGGGAGAAAAAAGGGCAGTGTGTCCATTTTCCAAATCTTGATACAATCTGGTCCTTATCGTGTTCATAACCTCCAGAGAGCCAGGAAAAGAGAACAAGGAGTCGGCCGTGAACGGTAACACAGTAGACAGATCGGGCCAACCTCCCGTTTAAAAGAATCCGCAGTCGCTGCGCGCACGGCAGTTGTGTGGGAGCAGAGAAACCAAACGAGAGGCTGAACGGAGAGGGTACCCCTGTCCAGCTTGCGTAGGATTCTTTTGAAAAGATTGGCAGGCTACCAAGCAAAGGATTGGGTGCTGGAAGGAGCGAAGCATTCAGCAGGTGGCAGACAGAGGAATAATAGTGGCCGGGACGGAACACAGAAAGCTGGCAATAGACGCGACTGGAGATGACCCCGGACATGTCCCTGGGGTGCAGCGGTATAGTTATTTTTGGAGTAGAGAATTAAAAAGGTAGAGAAAACATGCCCAGAGAAACACGGTCACTGTCTTTTTGAATGGCCTTAACTGGGTAAGAAACATCTGGTCAACATGGTAATGTTGGTTCCAAAGCATGCGGAGGGCCTCGTAGGATGTAGACGGCACTCTGGGCCCCACGTCTCCCGGGGCAGGCGGGATTCTATGACGAGGGCCTGGACAACACACATACCGTCCAGAAATGCTAAACGGTAGACTTCCGATTTCAGATGAACCTATTCTCCACCTCTCTGGAGTCTAAGCCTCTCTGCCAGTGGCTCGCCCTATCTGGCAGCCTGTCACCAGAAGCTCTTTTATAAACAACCTTACAGGAAAGATGAGGAAGCAGTTGCCACAAGCAGAGATGAAAAGCGTGGCTGAGAAGAAGAGTGGAAGGAGAGAAATGACACAGCGATTCAAAACGGTCTCAGGAGACGGAAAGCTCAGAGGAAACACTGGTAGACCGGCCTGGACGCCCCTACAGGCTGGTTGGCTCCCGTCCAGGTGTAGTCAATGGACACATCTCTTGCTGGTCAGTCTGGTGACCCTGAATATATGGATTAGTTGAGTGAAAAGCTGAACTTTAAAAACAGTGATGCTCTAAAGATAGAGCATAATGATGTTCCCAAAATTAGGAGCCACAAGGAAAAAAAATCACCTTTGTATGGTTTGTTAAAAAGGAGCAAGCCCTTATTCAGAAGATGGAGTAAACAAGATTTGGGTCCAGTGGGACTAAGCTCGCACTGGGGATTTTGCTTACCTTGTGGAAGTCATACACCTTTTCCACAAAAAGGCCGTTGACAATGCTGAGGTCATAATCTTTGTGGGATGTGTTTATGTCAGAAAGAACTCTTTTCAGTTGAGACTGGAATTCTGGCTGTTATTGACAAGATGTATACAAACTTATTCTTGCATTTCAGAGATATGCATAATCTTATTTACACAAGAAATAAAACCTATATCATAAAAATTAAAATCTAATGAGCTATAAAAGTAGCAAATAGGGCCACATATATTTACAGTGTCTTATCCTTTCTCATAATAGCGTCTCTGGTCAGATTGAAGAATTTACTCAAGAAATAATTAGCCTTAGAATAAAATTGTTAACAGAATATAATGAATTTGCGTATGTGTTCTATCTGTTTTTATCAATACAAGTTGTTGTGAATATCAAAAGACAAAGGAAAAAACATTTAGTTTTACACTATCTTGCCAAAATCTGGCCAATACATAAGTAAAATATTAAGTTTCTACTTAACAAGTAAATTGACAAAACTTTATTTGCACATACGGAAGTGAAACTCAACAGAAATCAAAGGGAAGGAAGGAGAGGGTAGAATCAATTCACACCTAACGAGTGCCATGCATGGATTCTGGGCAAAGGACACACTTGTAACATGGCCCCAAAATTGTGTGGCCGAAAGGTGTGTACCCCTGTGATACTCTGAAATAAAAAATAAATTTATAAAAAGCATATTTGAAATATCCACAATCTACAAATCTAAAAACAGCTTTTGGGGGAAGGGAGCTTTAAAAATGCAGGGAACATATTTAAATATAATCAAGACCCAGTAATCTTTTAAATTGAGTCTCACATTCTCCTTTTCTAAAATAACATGCCATCTTACCTGACTGTTGGAAGAATTTGCATATCCTGAGGCACCATTCCAGTGAAGCAGCTGCAAACAGGATATAGGGAAGCGGTTATCAGAATCAGAGGTTACCGGGAGCGCAGTTGGCAAGAGGTTTTAAACGTTAAAGTATTTCTTTCCCCATGAATTTGTCTAACTGCCATTCCAAGTTTGCTAGTGCCCCAGAGTGGCTTTGCCTCATGACTCCCAGTGAATATCAGGGGGTTACAAAGGGAAGAAACAGGTTGTGGTTTTAATTTTTATTCATTCTCTTTGTTTTCTACGTCCCGGTCTCTCCCAGTTTCACCACGATTTGGAAATTCGTGTCAATTTACCTAAATGTAATCATGACATTACTTCTAACTAAAATATGCTTAAATGATCTAATACCAGGGGTAGGGGAGGGGAATGAGCGGTCTGGGAGAGGGGAGGAGGGAAGGGGATGGGGGGTCGTGGTGTGTGGCACACTTCTTGGGAGAGGGACACAATTACAAGAAGGACTTTACCTAACAACCGCAATCAGTGTAGCCTAATTCTTTATACCCTCAATAAATCCCAAACAATAAAAATAAAATAAAATAAGCTTGCCTGGTAGTCCACACATAGTCGTTAACTGCCTCAGTGCACACCCCTCCTAAGTTAAAACTGAATAGAAAGAGTATTTGGAAAGCTGAGCTCTACAGTGTTAGACAGTCAATGAAATGGGACCATGCTCCTCACTACCACAATGTAACTCGAAATACTAATACACCTACTTGTACTGTTCTGTGATGTAGGGAGCCAATAAGCCTCTTTTTGAAACAACCTAGCAGCTACAATTTTAACATCTGGGCCAATACAAACTGGGTTATCAATTCCTGTGTTCACATAATACTTCTTTGCATTTCACTTATCGGATTTTTCCTCTGTTTATTTTTTCGTAATTATGGAGTCATAGAACCCATCGGCATTTCCTACCAATAATTACTCCTGAATCTCTTGAAGCTTTTTTTTTATATAGAAAAACATTACATTTTGCATAAGTTACATGGGTCTTAAAATATGGTGTCACCACCTTTTGAACACATCCAAGCTTTCTCTCTTCCTGTCCCTCCCTCAAATGTTACAGAGTTCCCTAGTTTCCAAGTGATTAATAATACAATGTTCATAATTATTTGAATATATATATATTATGCCCAATAAATTCATCTGAGCACAGAAACTCAGGCTTTCCTTGACACGTCTCTTATATTCTTCATAATTGCACATCGTCTTATTTAGTTCAGGTAGTTCTTTATGTTGAGCAAATTTAAAAACTACATTTTGTGTATCAGGCATGAGTTTGATTAGAAAAAGACTGTACTCAGTCAACGGATTTCCTCATAGAGATTATGTATGTAACGGTCACAAAACACTTTCCCTCTCCCAAAGCTATTTTTAACTAACCCACCATCACCGTTGTCACCAATTTCACCACCACCTGTTTCCTAGATCACTGAGAGACTTTGACTTTTCAGGTTCCTGACATAAGAAGAGAGAACGTTTCAGACCCTGCCCACTCTGTTCCTTTATTTTAAGATTATTTTCCAGAGGTTTAAAAAATTTAAAATGCTTCAAATTTAGAAACTTTCACAGTAAATGAGTTTAAGAAGAACCTGTTATAATCATAATATAATAAAACTGGCAGGCACGATATTTTTCAGATTAGAAACTTCCTGACTTACTAAGTTTCAAAAAATCATCATTATTTCAAGTGTCACTTTTAATCAACTTTAATTCTTTAAAGGTGAATTTTATTACAACTGTGAGTAATTATGTGGCCCGTTTTCATCTATGGAAAGTTTCAAAATGTTGAACTAAAACCTACAGTGACTGTGTTCCAGAGACCATTGGGCAATTCTGGCTCAGCTGCTCACAGGAAAATCTGCATTTGTTATATGAAAAAGGCTTCCTTGGTCTTTAAACCTATAGATTTGATAAACTGTCTCTGTGAGTATATAATCTAACTCATATCAGTCCACAGGAAAATGTATGTATGTTATTATTAAAAAAATGGTTGCAAATATGAGGTATCTTTTGTCTTAAACCTTTCACAGTATTGTGAGACTCTTCTTTTTTTTTTCCTTTTCTTTTTTTTTTTATTAAATCATCACTGTGTATATTAATGCAGTCATGGGGTACAATGTGCTGGTTTTATATACAATTTGAAATATTTTCATCAAACTGTTTAACATGGCCTTCATGGCATTTTCTTAGTTACTGTGTTAAGACACGATCTTATATCTTGGCAACGTCGCTACTAGATAATAGAATTGGCCACCCCTCACTGCCCCAGACAGAAAGGAAGAGGATAATTCGCTGTCCGGACCGTCAATCATGGAGATGCAAGAGAAAGGTGGGTTGCATCAGAGGAGAGAAGCAGCGACCACATCACGTCCACTGAGCTTCTCCAAGGACGAAAATGGTGTTTGACCTTCTTAAGATAGAAGCTCTAGTTACCCCTGAAACATTTCGAAGAATGACGTATCTTGAGCAGGGGACTAAGACACTAACATTCATAGTATCTGATATTATGCTAATCACAATAAAATGACTTATTTAAACTTTATTATTATTTTTTTTTTTTACTGATACCTGATACTGAACTGCTGAAGTCCTTAGATGTCTGAATTGTTTATTCATTGTCTTATTATAATATAGGGTTTGGCAAGGCTAAGAGTGGCTTCCCTGCCTTTTTGGCCAAGAAAGCTTCTAAAACTTTCTGGTAAGTTCGCTTCAATGAAAGGAATGAATTTCAAGTTATTACAGGCTGTTGGGTAAGGGTGGTGTCTGTCCTCTTATAATAAATGCCTTTAGAGTTGAAAATGACTTCATTATTTCATAGCTTCTTTAATTTTCCATCCCCTTTCCCTTTTTCAATGCAGTGATTAAAAGAAAAAAAAAATTTTTTTTTGAGAGACAGAGTCTCCTCATCACCCTCAGTAGAGTGCTGTGGCGTGACAGCTCACAGCAACCTCCAACTCCTGGGCTTAAGGCAATTCCCCTGCCTCAGCCTCCCGAGTAGATGGGACTACAGGAACCCGCCACAATGCCTGGTATTTTTTTGTTGCAGTTTGACCAGGGCCGAGTTTGAACCCGCCACCCTCAGTATATGGGGCTGGCACCCTACCCACTAAGCCACAGGTGCCACCCGATTAAAGGAAATTTTAAAACTTATAATTACAGCTCCAAAGTGCTGAAGGAATGGTACATTTTGCCTTTTCAGTGCCTTGGAGATGGCTTTCAACATCAAGGCTTAAGCCTGCTAATTCACAGCACTGTCTTACTGATGAGGCAAAATGAAAAACCTCAGAAAGAGGTATAAAAACTTACAAAGTCTGTGAGTATCGTCCTTAGAATTAATAGGCCACAGAGAAATGGAGCCTGCCTTAATTTCCACATCCTCTTACTGTGGAATAATAGTATGATATGAAATGAGAGCCGAGGCAAAGTCAGCAAGGAAAAACTGATACACAAATTAGTAGTTATTTAAAATCCATAAATGGGGTTTCTGCAGGCATAAGGGTGCTGTCCTCCGCAGCCTAGACTTCTTATCAACATGGGGATCATTGCCCCTTAGTTCTGTGCCATCATAGAGCCATGAACAATATCCACCCTCTCTCTCATTTGGTCTTAGCCAAACATAGGGATTTTCACTGCCTTTAAAAATACGGCAGTTATCTCCTCCCAACTGATAGAAGAATCCTGGGGTAGAATACGGTCCGTGAACAGTCCTGCCTCAGTTTTGTGGTCAATGTCATGGTGACTGTGACTCTTCCATCGGTGAACGATGAATGGAGTTAGTAAGGTGTCACTAGGAAAGAAAGGTTCAACAGGACCTTCCACTCCCATGGAATTATTTATTTTTGCCACTACGAGGAGGAAATAAGAGCCATACTTAGAACTACGTCATTACCATTGCTTCATTTTTGTTGCTTTACAATAACTATGTTATAAAATAGATGTTTGCCTCTCAGGGCTCCCAAAATGAAAAGCAAAAATTGCAAATGGAAGTCATTACTGTCAACCATCTTAATATAAGAAGATGAGGGAAAGTAGCAGGGCCAGCTCATGTCCACCGACCTTGAACTTGGGTGGTACCTTGTACCTTTTTTTCCCTAAAATAACGTATCAGGGTGAGGGGGGCAGATCTCTGGTCTTTGAAAGGGTTAGTGGGAAAAGTTGAATATTTATATAATGTTGCCTTGGGTGAAATACAAATAACTTTATACATTTACATAAGTATAAATTATAAAATGTACTTTGAGATCTGCTCTTCGGAGTTTTAAACCTTTCACTCACGACAGTCATGCCTCACTTAATCACGAAGATACTTTCTGAGAAATATATTGTCATGCGATGTTATCATTGTGTGACCACCGCAGAGTGCACCTTCATGAATCTACCTGGTATAACCTACTTCACACCTCGGCTCTTTGTGCGGCTAGAGCCTAGACACACAGAGGAAAAACCGCTACAGGATGTTATGTACTGAAGGCTGCAGTCAGCTGTAACATAAAGGTAAATATTTGTGTATTTAAATGTATCTAAACATAGAAAATGTACAGGAAAAATACCTTATAAAAGATAAAATTGGTACACCTGAATCAGGAACTTAACATGAATGGCATTTTCAAGATCAGAAGTTGCTCTGAGGGCAGCGCCTATGGCTCAAGGAATAGGGCGCCAGCTCCATATGCTAGAGGTGGCGGGTTCAAACCTGGCTCTGGCCAAAAACTGCAACCACAACAAAAAAAGGGTGACGCCTGTGGGTAGGGCGCCCGCCCCATATGCTGGAGGTGGTGGGTTCAAACCAGGCTCTGGCCAAAAACTGCAACCACAACTAAAAAAAGGGTGGTGCCTGTGGCTCAGTTGGTAGGGCACCGATCCCATATACCAGGGGTGGAGGGTTCGAGCCCGGCCCCAGCCAAAACTGCAAAAAATAAAAATAAAAAAAGAAGAAGAAGAAGTTGCTCACTTCTCACAGCGAGTGAGTGAGTGAATGTGAAGGCCAAGGACATTCCTGTTCCCTGCTGTAGACTCGATAAACATTGTACACTTAGACTGCACTAAATTCATTAAAAAAACAGCTTTCTTTCTTCAATGGTAAATTAACATTAACTCATTGCAATTTATTTACTTTATAATCTTTTTCATTTTTTAAACTTTTTGACTCTTGTTTTTCTTTATATCCTTATCCAACAAACTTTGTATTAATAATTCCTTTTTTACTTTTTGAGCTTGTTAAAAACTGAGACTGAAACACACCCTTTAATCAGGCTTCTGCTGGGTCAGGATCATCAGTTTCACTATTTTCTGCCTCCCCATCTTGTCCCACTAGAAGGCTTCGGCGGCAACAGCACACATTCAGCTGTCATCGCCCACAATAAAGATGCCTTCTCTGGATGCCTCCCCTAAGATCTGCCTGAGGCTGCTTTACAGCTAACTTTTATTTTTATACTTAAAATAATACACTCTAAAATAATAATAAAAAGCATAGCATTTAAACATATAAACTAGTAACATAGTCATTTATTACCATCATCAAGTGTTACACACTGTACCTAATTGTATGTGCTGTACTTTTATACAACCGGCAGTGTGGTAGGTTGGCTTACACCAGCAACACCACAAACACCTGAGTCACGCATTGTGCTATGGTGCTATGACGGCGGCTGCGTCACTACACAATAGAATAATTCAGCTCCATTGTAATCTTATGGGACTATTGTATATGTGGTCTGCTATGATTCCAAACTGTGGTTATATGACTATACCTTGTAAAAAGAACCTAGTAATTATTGCAGAACTAGCAAGGAGAAAGGTATCTCCCTTTTTCTTTGGCCAAAATTTCTTCTAAGGCAGACTGTAACTTCTTAAACTTCCGAAGGTTCTCTCTTTTTAAAAAGTCCTTAAGCCACCATTGGATAGACTTTTATTTAGGAGTATTTGGATGGAGACAAATATAAAATACCATAATAAAGTGTGAAGATTCAAACATGCTAATATCTATTCTGAGTTAACTCTTGTGGCACCCAGACACTATGATCAAAATTATATAAATATATATAAGGAATTCTTTTTTAACTTTTTGAATATCCTTTTAAGTATAGTAATACTTAACATTATTCACTGATCATTAATAGTATTATCCCACTTTTATATTAATTTGTTAGATTTTTCTGATCTAGACTCTAAAATCTCCCAAATCTGAAATTTATGGAGCACCAACATGACTGTGTAAGTTGAAAATGCTACCCCTGACCTCATAATTCAAAACTTTGTTTCATGCACAAATTATTAAAAGTACACAATCATATTCATGCTATTATGCTATGTGTATATGAAACATAAATGAATTTCACATTTAGGCTTTGGTCCCAACCCCAAGATATTTCATTATGTACATGCAAATATTCCAAAATTTGAAATAGAAAAATTCCAAAAAATACTCTTGGCCCCAAGCATTTCAGATAAGTATATCGAAACTGTAGTGAATATTTATGTGTAAGAAGTGTTCAATAAAACTCCAAAGGCTTGTTTATCACAATTCTTTCTCTCCCTACTTTTCCTATCTGGTTCCTTGGTGTTCCTATCCAAAATATTAAGAGTCCTATATTTTCATATTCCCTCATGTCCTTATGTAGGAAAATCTGATAACTGACAACAATGAGGAAAAAATCATGGGTCTAGATCATGTACACAATTTTAGGATGTTAGGATTAAGGGTAAGAAAGAAAAAAAGAGGCTGAAACATCGGCATCCCCTTAAACGTCTTTGTATGTATTCACACCAAATTATAAAGCTAGTATTTCTTCTTACAAAGTAGTAAAATAAGTAATATGATGATTATTTTTAAATGTTCCTGATAAAACCCAATTGTATTTTCAAAAAATTCAGATTTGTACAAATTCAAAATGACATTATAATCAAAACACATGATCTAGGATAAATATATATACATAGCACGATATGGCTCAATGGAAATGTTACATAAGAGATACAAGAGGAGAAAGTACTGCACTGAATCTCAAGTTCACAGAATCTTGATTTTAATATAGCACCTGAGCCAGGGCTCGAGAAAGAATATCCGAGCCTTTCTTGGGGCCAAGATATGTCAAGACAAGCCCAGACCATCTTGTCAGAAACCAAATGGAAGGACTGTTTACATAGACCAGGTTAAAGAGATTTCAGTTGGCCCAGCTGGGACAATTTGAGCATCAACAAGACAAAAGACCATAGGTTCATGGTCATACTTAAAGGTGATATAGAGATGAAAGCCATAAATTGTGATGGCTTCAAGGCAGTTCTCAACTGGAGATTGATTTTGCTTCCTGGGGGTTTCTTTGGAAATATCTGAAGCTGTTTTGGTTGTCCTGACTAAGGACAGGTGTACTGCTGATATCTAGTCGGGAGAGGCCAGAGATGCTGCTGAACTTGAACGATGCACACGACAGCCCATTGTGACAAAGAATTATCCAGCCCCAAATGGCAATAGTGCCCAAGTTGAGCAACCCTGCTTTCAAAGACAATTACCCTGAGTTTGAATCAGAGAACTATCATCTACCAGCACATAGTTAGCTTGGTTACCCACCACCCCCATAAAATCAGGACAATGTTGCCATTTCAGTGTGCTGTGAGTTTTGCATAAGATTATATTTTAGGGCTTATACCAAAACCTGACAGTGACAACGTTCTCAGCTATTGTTATTAATATTATTTCATTAAAGTGAGGTATTCTATGTACCAAGTTGAGGACTAGCGATTGACAAAATGTCTGTAGGGTTCCCCAGCAACAAACGGCCACTGAGCTAGCCAGAGAAAGAACGGAATTCTTCTAGCTTAAATCATCTACACTAATAATCTTCAGGAAGAACTGATGTGTAGCAGGTTACAACGGGGACCACCTTTCTCTAGCACTTACTTCTGAACTAAGATAATCAGAGGACAGGAGGCTGGGTGGCACAGAAAGTGATGACATCAAGGCCTTTGCACACAGCTTGGACCTGGTATCCCACCTGCTATTGAACTTTAACAGCAATTTCTGGAGAAAAGAGAGGGAAACTTTGACCACTTCACTTCCCAGGACAGCCTGTTCAGAGCTGCGTGCACATTAACATGCACTTTCTGAAGGTGGCGGTAGTGACGACGTGACGGCCATTCGGGGAGGCTGCTATTATCTGGAATGCACTATTAAGTTATCTGTGCCCAGGTAACCAGTGTTTAAATCAGGACGTCATCAGAATCTCCTTCTAGCTCTCCTATCTCACCCATATCTACTCAGGCAGTGGTTCTCAAATGTTAGCGTGGACTCTGAGAGCTTGTTAAAACCCAGGTTGTTTGGCCCCACGCCCACAGTTTCTGATTCAGTAGGTCTGGGGTGAGGCCCAAACGTTTGCATTTCTGACAAGTTCTCCAGGTGACGGTGATGTTCCTTGTCTGAGAAACATGCCTGAAGAGCCACTGTACTAAGGAAAAGAATCAAAGTTGTTCTTGGAATATTCTGCCACCTCCTGGCTCATGGACAAGTGTGGCCAGCTGTGTGCTCTCCCCACACCTGAAGAGGGGCTCACGGAAGTGTGTGAAGATGTGACTCCTTGTGCCCTTCTGATACCCTCCATTGACTTGGGGAACATCACATGAAATACTCCCTTGGGGAAACCAATTTGCCATGATGGTTAACTGCAAGTGGCGAGACTGACCTTATCAATCTGAGAAGCACAGTCACCTCGAGCCCCCAGACGGATCAGGGCCAGCGCAGTGAAGAGGCTCAGAGAGGAGAAGAACATATTTCCATTTCCTTGATTGTTATCCATCTCTCGGAACAAGTTGAAGCAAAATTCTGCATTTGCTGCAGCAAGGGAGGCCATTGTGAAATGGGGCGCAGCCTGGAGAACAGGGAGAAAAGGAAATGAGCTCACAGAACATTTTCTGTAAATATTTGGGGTTTATATTCATTCACTTTTTTAAAAAAAAGTTAAGCTTTGTTTCTTCAGCCTTGGATATAATTATCAAATGCCTTATAACAAAAAGGAGAAGGTTCCTTTGGCCCAGCATCCCGTTACTAACATTCTAAAACTACCTCTTTTGAGAAAAAATATTCTGGTATGTTCCTTTTTCTCCTATTGATAGTCTTTAGTGAGACATTTCACCTATGCTGTCATGTTCACACCCAGATCATACTCCTCATTCTCCCTGATCTGGCATTTCTAACCTCAGCGACCTCTAAGTGGCCTTTGTTTTCATGTCCTAAGAGGAAACATGCATGGGGCTTAGTATTTCTCAAATTCACCCAGATTTCTTAACTGAAAGAGAGCAAAAGTGTTGTGGAAAGTAAATATTACCATGCTAGACAGTCAATTCAAGGCAGTCTAGCCTTTACTTTCTGAAATGTTAAAATTTTGAAGTTTATGGCTTTTATACACATTCTCCGAGAAATCATATATTCTATTTTTTTAAGATCATCCTAATTCCAAATATTATTAATTCTTGGTCCTTATAAGTGCATTTACTTTCAAGACCATTTTTTTAAGCCAGGCATAGTGACTCACACCCATAGCCTACCACTTTGGAAGTTCAACATAAGCCTGAGCAACATAGCAAGACCCCATCTGTGCAAAAAAAATAGAAAAATATTAGCCAGGCATGGTGGTACACACCTGTAGTCCCAGATACTTGGGAGGCTGAGACAGGAGGAGTGCTTGGAACCAGGAGTGTGAGGTTACAGTGAGCTTTGATGACACCACTGCACTGTGGCCCAGGTATCAAAGAGAGACCCTGTCTCAAAAAGAGAAAACAAATGACCCTTGTCTGATTGTTTTTGGAATTGCAAAATGTGATCGTAACCACGCACAGGACTTTCTCACACATCGGTCTGCTGCTTGCCGGAGAATCTAGCACACAGTAGCAAATTTAGAATTGAAGTCAGACTGAGATTACCTTCAAATTCTTTCATTTCTGAAATACAGAGGGCTGCTACTACCACAGAATTGGTCAAAGATCTGCTTTTATTTATTTCTTTTCAGACTTTCTCCACAATTCAAGCTAAACTTAAAGTCACCATTGGGGTTGTCCCAGATTGAATGAATGTTTCTGAGTTCTCCAAATTATTTCCCTTAAATATTCTGAGATATAACATATGATGGTGTGGCAGGTGCCAAGAGTCATGAACCTTTAGGAAACCCAGTCCCAGTTCCAACCCTTTTACTGTTAGTTGTGGGACCTGGATACTGCTGAGAATCTTTAATTTCTCAGAGATTCTAAGTCTCCTCTTACTCAGGGAGACGATACATCTACATGATCCTCATAGTGATTCCCAACAGAAAATCATGCCTCCTTCTACCTTTCACCCCATAAAAGGAGCACATCATGCTATGAGGGCCTGGAGGGGTGCCGTGTAGCCAAGAAGAGAGTCACAAGGAGGGAGAGAAATGTCATCTGAAAAGGAATGGCCACTGCATTGACTTTGCTGCAGTCACAGATCCTTAATGCCTTTTACAATTACACATGAGATTAAAAGTATGTTTTTCCATTTGTATTCTACCAAATGGGAGCTTGAGTTTAAAAAAGTGAAGGAACAATAATTCTAGTATAATGCCTGACTCACAGCAGATGTTCAATAAACTGAAGCTGCTGCATTTCCTAACCTCTGTATAATGGTAACAACTTGTTCTGTCCTAAAAGACAACAAACTCAGAATTTCCAGAAAAAGTGTTCTTGAAAAATCCATACTCTGCCCCTTGGAACTCTAAACCCAGAGAAGAGCCCTGAGGCAAGAGGCCACATGGTTGTCAGCGCCAAAGGCAGCTATTTGTAATGCACTGGTAGTCCCATTCCTCGGTTACACCTGGCGACATCTGGAGAGGAAATCTTTCACACCCCTCAAACCCTTTACCCCAAGACATAAAATCTGCGTTCATTTAAAAGTTATCCAGAGAAATATTGATTTTTATGGCTAATCCAAGGTTAAGAGCGATGGCCATTGTGGGTGGACTACAGGAAAACCCTTGTAGCAAAGGAGAGAAGGAATGAGGGACAACATAAGCTGAGGAAGGGACAGGGGATGGAGTGAGTAGGTCCAGGGCAGCTTGATACAGTGACTGATATTGCAGGGCTGACGGCTCCCAAATTTTCAACGACTCAAATCATATTTTAGACCTGAAAAATAAGACTAAATTTAACCAGGAGACTTTGGGGTTGAATGTATGAAAATAAAATAGTCTTTGGTGTTTTTGTTTTGTTTTTTTAAACAAGGTTGCACTCTATCGCCTGGCCTAGAGCGTGGTGGATTCTCGTAGCTCTCTGCAACCTCAAACTCCTGGGCTCAAGCAATCGTTTGCCTCAGCCTCTGGAGTAGTGGGACTACACATGGCCTGATTTTTGTATTAAATTTAGTAGTCCCCAAATTCATTATTTTTAGGAGGAAATCGATTCTCTCCCTTCTAAAGATTTTCCGAGACTTCATGTTCATTGCTGAAAATTAGACAATAGTAAATGAATCACTTTTAAGAAAGTAATGTCAAAAGCAAAATCATTATAATAATTTCAAAATATTTAGAGTGTATATTTAATAGAGGATTGTGGGTATGTTTTAATATAATGATAAAATGTGGGCTAGTCTTGGCTTGGTGCCCATACACAGTGGTTATGGTGCCAGCCACATACACCGAAGGCGGTGGGTTCGAACCTGGCCTGGGCCAGCTAAGCAATTGCAACAAAAAATAGCCAGGCATTGTGGCAGGCACCTACCACAGCAACTTATGTTGCTCCCAGCTACTTGGGAGGCTGAAGCAAGAGAATCACTTAAGCCCAAGAGTTTGAGGTTGCTGTGAGCTGTGATGCCACAGCAATCTACTCAGGGCGACCTAGTGAGACTCTGTCTCAAAAAATAAAAATAAAAAATAAAATGTGGGTGAGCCTTTAAAAGAAGACCTGAGAGTCTTTTAAACATTCTCTTTAGGGCCCTTCCTTCACAGTCCGATGGGTGTCTGAAGTTAGTTTCCTGGTAGTGTCACACACATCCCGAAAACACTTTACAGTACACTTTTCTTTGATCAAGCCCCAATTCTTCTTGTTGTTTTACAAATTATGTCTGTTGATTGTATCTCTTGGAGAAGAAAAAAACACTTTTGAATATTATTCTTTACTTCCTTAGCAACAATTATGAATTTTTACTTTCCAAACTTTGTCATCGTGGTTCTTTGGTAAAGTATTCATGAAACTAAAACCATACTGAAGAAAAGAGAAGTTCAACAGGAGGCCTGGGACTCCGTGGGAAGGTGGCTCAGGTGGATTATGTGGCAGAGAAATCATGCTACATTAAAATCCATTACGGAAAAGTGTCAGCCAAGACATTCCTAGACTATTATAAATTGTCAAGCCATTGCTTTAAAAATGATAGATGATACTAAATTATATATACTTAAACACCCTTGTACAGACAAGTTCACGTACGCTGAAAGTAAACACCAAAAAGTATGTTCTAGTTCACATAATTGTTGGTGTTATCTTCTTTTATGCAGGTGCACTATAGATTTCAGGAATGAAAGCCAGTTTGTTCCTCTTCGTAAATAAAGTCTGAAACTCTATGACAAATAGACCATATTTAAAGCTGCATTGATGGTTTTACACCCCAGGCTTCCTTCAGGTAGCTGATGAATAAAAATTATCACGGAACAAAATTTGATTTTCCTTTCTCCTAGAAAGACTTTCACAGCAACTTAACAATAAATAAATCAAACACCAGCCCAAATAAACTAAATTCAAACAAGCCACAACTTCTACCATTTGACTCAGGTCACAAGCCAAATAAACAAGGATACTGAAAATGAAATAAATTGTGTTAAAGCTATAGAACAATATGTCTGTGTGAATCTACCCGGTACGCCATTGTATGGACATGGTAAGGGAGAAAATTCCTTTCGAATTATAAATAACTTGGCTTTATGGATTAGGTTTTCATTTCACGAAACGTAAACCACATTGTGATGTTTCTTGCATAAATATTTTAGCTTAACATACAAGTATGTAATTAATTTATAATTTTCAAGTTAACACAAATTAGCAAATACTCAAGGTGGTTTTAAAATCTCACACTTCAGCTTTGAAGATCTAAAAACCCCTGGCAACTAAAGCTCATTAGATTTTTTTATGGTATGTTTTGATCCAAGAAGTTTTTTACCCCTTTATTCTTTGAATCAACTTACTATTTGTGTCAAACAATAAAAACTAAATATGCATTCACTGAAGCTTTTTTTAGGGATAATTAAAAAATCAAGAAAAATAATTTTTCAAATAAAGTATAAGAAAAAGCAGACACAGAGAACATTCAACAAAACATGAAATTTGGGGGGTGATATTTTATGGGCCCAAACCTATCACTAACTGATAAATTATGTATCTTAAATGCTTGATAAAATACTATCTAATCTAACTTTGACTATGCAAAGAAAATTAATTGTAGTTCACAGTACTCAATTAGGGAAAAAAAAGTCGATATTTACTAAGTTAAAATATTCACATCAGAGGGAAATGAATAGCCCCTGAACATGCTCAATTTTTGTTCTTATCAATAAATCAAAGGTGATCCTACAAAGAGTGATGTTATTCTATAGAAGTAGTTTAACATCTTTCCATTTCTTTTAAAAACATGGTTTCAAATTTTGATAAATCCCTAATCCAATGGATACCCCATCATGTCATTAAAATGGAAGTCAAGTCTATTCTCAAAAATGGGCATTTTCCAACCTATAATGCCCTAAATCATAACACTGGATAGAGTTACAGAACCTAGATTTGTACATCATCTCTATTTATCTGTTCAAACATGAAACATAAAGTTTCTAACTGGAGCCTGATCCCGTGCAGTGGGGTGCACGCCATT